GATAGGTTAATTTGTTAAACTTTTGTTTTTAAGAAAGGTGATACTGCCACCATTCTTTTCTGTGAGGTTACAATCTGACTTTTAAACACTACTTTTTTTTTTTTTTTTTACTCAGATGGGAGGCTACTGCTGAAAGAAAAAACCCTCAAGACCCACATGTGCATATGCATAGAAGGAGAAATTAATATTGGTACACTAACAGGTGTAAATGAAAGTTTGTCATTTTTCTCTCTGCACCTTCCTTTGGGTTGTTTGGTGTTTTGTTTTTTTCAGTGAACTCCATGTTCAGCAAGGAAAAGAATTATTGCAGAGATTTTTACCTGTGATCCAATCACGTTTGGAGAGGGTGCGGTGGACTGCTGCTGCTGTTGATGGTGGTGTTGCTGTAGCTGTTGTAGTGGTTGCGGCTGTGGTGTCTGTAGTTTGTTTTCTGACTGTGCCAATGGCTGTATTTGAAACTTACTGTCTGGCTGTTCCTGCTTCACTATCAAATTCTTTCGAAGCTGTTCCACCACTCTTTTCTACAGGATACACAAAAACATAAACAGGAATTATGACTTTTTTTAGCTGCACATTTTAGAGAAGATAATAACACCTAAAGTTACATTTATTTAATGTAAATGAAGAACCGATCAGAACCTTAGTGGGATTTCTCTTTTTGGAATTTTAAATATTGGTGTTATCTAATGGGCAGAGTGTCAAAATAGGCCACAGAGGAGTGCTGCTGCCCAACAGCATGACCTTGCTGTCCTTGCAGAAACCCATCCCCCCAAAATTCAGCATATTCACAAACCACTTCAAGATCTCATTAACCTATATTCACTTGAGACTTGTTAGCATTCAGATTCCAAAGTTTCTGTCTCCTTCAAACACACACCATTCCTACACAGTGATGAAAAAGGACTTCAGGTTGAAGCCTGAAGGCTGACTTCAAGACAATGGAGATGTCGTTTTGTACCAGGCATCAAAACTGAGTGGAGAGACAGCCAGTTTGAGGGCAAAGCGGGGAATAGGAAGGGCATGGATGTGTGGTCATTCTGTTCAATATTATTGTTAGCTGAAAGCAAATCAGATAGGGCTATCTACATGGGAAGGAAACCACACAGATTTATTTCTTGCAGCTTAAAGGCTTCCTATTTCACTGTAGCTTCCATGAAGGTTTGAAAATACAAGTTTCTTCTCCTGGTAGCTATTGTGTATCTTTTGATGGTAACTCAACAGATCTAGGAGCAAACCAGGTGACCCGCAGGATAAGATACTATGTTGCGACACAGGTAATAAAGGCTCACAATTTATGTTTCTGTTACACTTTAGCTTAACAAGGGTGAAAACATCATGAGTCTTTCACATTTTGTGGGCATGACAGAAAACGGGCATTTTTTCCTACAGTCCAACCACTCAAATTAGGGCAACTTCAAAAATATTTAGATATATACTTAGGACCCCTTGATCTAGAGCATACACATACTCCAAAACAGTTCTATGATAAGGGTGGCTTTGGAGGAGGACAGCAAGGTCAACAGACATGGTGAGGGCTCGACTGAGAAAGCTCCAGTGGAAACAGAAACGGTCAGAAAACCTCTACCAGAGCCAGGTGCTGACAGAGTGGGCTGCCTGAAGCACCTTTCCTTACACAGAAAGGAAAAGAAAAAAAACCCCATTCAATCAAATATTTTGATTTCAGTTTTGAAGCATTAGTATTAAGACACAGTACAAAACAGAGATGGAACACACACACAAAAAAACCAAAATCCAGCTATTTACAAGCAGCTGAAACATTTTTTTCCCCTCAAATTTCTTTCACACAGGATAATGAAATTCTGAGCTAACAAAGTATCTGTTGTCTGCATCATTCCTGATGATATACTTTAGACTTTCGATTCTGAGTATCTTGCTTGTAAGTTAAAACTGTGCTATGCCTCACACATTGGATGTGTACCTGTAGCCCAGAAGATAACAAAAGGCACAGGGTCCTAAATTGGCAGATTCGAGAACTGGAACTTTAAAAAGCCAAATAAACCACATAATCAACAACAACAAAAAAAAACACCACCCCTGTTTCATAAGGTTGAAATGTGTGAGCTCACATTACCAAGCTTTTTGCAAAAGACTGAATTCGGCACGTCAAGAGGTGTACAGAAGGACTGCCTGACTTCTACAAAACCTCCAGCCCTGATGGCAAGAGAAAACACAGGCCCAATCTCACCAAAAATTCAGGGAGTTGGTTACGGATGGCAGCATGAAGGAACTATTTTACGCTGCATCCAGAAAAGTGCTAAAAGCTGTCAAAGCCAAAAAGCTGTAAATTGTTTGTTCCCTTCTACAACAAGGAGAAAATAATAGGAGCGTAGAAGGCGTTTTTCTAATTCAGATATTTTTCACAATTTTGAATGGCCTGTGTCTATCTGCTCAATCGTATATGTAATAACTGAACAATCATTTAAAACTGCTTTCTGAAAAGATCAACCACGTTAACATGCAAACCAAAGTGCCGTGTCAGCAAGCAGATAGAAGAGCTGAAAAAACATTTTCAGAGAGTAACCTGAGGGGGAGGAGAGGAGAATGGAGTAAAGTAGGAGAGGAAATAATGCAACATGCCTATGGAATACCTGCCAAAAAATGGACTGCACGTACACTGCACAGGAGGCTAAAGAATTACTGTACCCGGCATGAACAGGAAGGGAGTTTTTGTCTTCCACAGCTGCCTGTATGAAATTCAGTGATAACGGTGCTCTTCTACCGATTCCCTAACTGGAGGAAACCAGCAGCAATGGCTCGAAAATTCATTTCCATCTTGTTCTTTACAACAGGAGGAACATTAGTGAAAGGATTTTTAAAAAAAAATAAAAAGAGAGAGTGAGGAGAGGGAGAGGCAGGCTGGAGGACTCCTCTGCCATACTGCTACAGCAGGGTGAGAGCCAGCGAGGACGGGAGCAGGAGCGAGGTGAGTCACATCGCATTCATACACCGCCTGTTCCACCCCCGGGCCCGAACCACGGCATGCAGAGCTGGCGAAAAACAGGACTGAAGCACAACTTTTATTAGTGCCTTGTGCAAAAACTGAGGCTCAGCATATTTGGCACAAGATGGATAACGTGAGTGGAAAAAACGCCGTTGCTCTGGAAGTCTACACGAGCCTGTTAGAGGCTGCTGAGAGCTGCCTGGCAGCAGCATATCCTGCCATCCATATCCATTATGCAGATATTAAATTGGAAGAAACATCTAATGCTTTTAAGATTCAGAGAGTAAAACTGAAGTTTGCAGTGCGTGCCAATTGCTTACGCAGTTTACTAAGCTGCTTCAACCAACTGTCAGTAAAAATACCACGCTGAAACGACAGAAATCGTTTTACTATCTGCAAGACGGTTGAGGTTATGTTTGTTAGTAGTTATCAAGAGGGAGACTCTGAACGACATACTCCGAAGTTACTTAGCTCAATTAGCAAAACCAGATGAGACTCTCACGGTTGCACCTACACAGGAACTAAGAGTAGATCTACACCCATTTTCAGCACTACCCTCTGCCACGTCCTCCTCTGCATGGTCTCAACCCACACGGTGGGCCTGACACCGTACGGCTCCCCCCCGGCCTCCCGCACGTGTCTGTTGGCAGCAATGTCAGCAGAGCCTCGTTTCGTAGGGGATTAAACACGAGGGCAGTATGAAAGAAACTCTTGTCTACGGTCAGACCCAGTACTTCATTCAAACTATTTTAAAATTGTTCTTGAATTACTTGACTGTTCTTGATCAATTTTGAAGGTGGTTTGTGCTGCAGAAAGTACAATTTGTACGACTGAAATTTGCCAATGCTGGTATAAAATACTAGCTATGTGCCTCAGAGGATGACTGCCAGTGAGACTGAGGTTATCCAAAAGTACCGCAGAACTCTTAAGAAACATTCCTAATTCTTTAAATGTAAACATTGCCATGTTTTCTTCCCACTCTTATTTAAGAATATTTAATTTAATTAAATTCTTACTGACAAATTCAAAATCTTAAATTGAGATTAATTCAGTCAGGAACACATCATCTTAAACACAACCTAATCGTTTTCTGCATGCCAGAAAGCTCGAACCCTCCCCATATTCTTAAAATAGCCTTTTTTCCTGCAACATTACAAATGTATGAAAAGCATTTCTTCCAAGCTTACTGAATTTTCCTCAAAGTCGAATGACGATCCTCTCCTTACATCCAGAACATGAAAGAAATTAATAATCACATCCTTTCTTCCAAACTGTATTCTACCCAGAAAGTAACTTCTAGCCCTCTGCAAGGGTTACCATTAGACTACTTCAAAATCCATCTGTCAAACAGTGCTCCGTAAGCACACTACATCATCTCACAGCTCTTGCTGTCTTGACATCTTTATCACTAATCTCATCAAGAACCATTCACACCACTGAGTTCACAGAGCCCTACACATCTCATATGACCCTTTCTTAAAGGTAATAATTGTAATCAATATTGTGACATTTAGCAATACCACTTTCTCATTCGTGCCGCAGGCCAGATCCTAACACAGCATTAGAAGATTATTTTAGTTTGATTAAGCAGAAAATCTGCCTTTACGTCTTGTTCGCCATATATCTGTGCCAAAAGGTGCTCATATAAAAAACTATCATGAATATGTTACTATAAGATAAGGAAAGTCCTTGGAGCAAAGTTAAAGCTTAGTAAGGTTTAAGTATAACATTATTAGCTAAGCATTATTCCCATGTCAACCAACCAATCAATCAATCAATAAGAAAGTAGTTCTCTGAATACAGCAACTTTTTAAAATACTAGATCCCTTGTTACATATTTGGTGACACATTTTTTCTTCGTCCAGGAAACACATTCAGAAAAGCATACATACGTAAAAAGGAGAGTCTGTTTTCAAACTTCAAAAATCTGTACAAATTAAAATATAAAAATCTTCTACAAATGAGAGAGAAAAGTAAAGTACTAAACAACTTTGCAATGCATACCTATTATATCACAAAACCAAAGCTGATGTGGTTTGAATTGCTCAACTGACTCCAAGTGACCTGCTTTCCTGCTCCACCAGTTCCAGGAAGTCAGCTATTAGGGACCCTCTGTGTCCTCGTTTCGACTGGGATAGAGTTAGTTTTTCTTTTCAGCAGCTACAAGAGCTCTGTGTTTTCGATTTCACATGAGATTTGTTATGAGGAGAATATCGATGGTGCACTGATGTTCATAGTTTGCACTGAGACAGCAAGGACCTTTCAGCTTGCCGTGTTTTTGCCAGTGTCCAGGAACACAACAGGCTGGGGAGGAGCATGGCTGAGACAAAGGACCCACAACTTCTAGCTTATGATTTGAGTTTAGATTTAGGATTGAGGGCCAAATTGGCCAATGGAATATTCCATATCATGCAATGTCATGCCTGGTATATAGATGACTAGGAAGTTGGGAGGGTCTCCTTCTCTTCTGTGGGACTCTCAGTCTCTTGGTTTAGCCTAGCCGGCAACTAAACACCACACAGCTGCTCATTCACTCTCCCCCACCCCCGGGGAATGGGG